CCTCAACAGACAAAATTTGCTGGCTCATACCTCAAACAACTGTGAGAGAAAATTGGATGCACAGTCTCTTCTCTTTTCCAAGTGAAAGCATAGCCTGTTCCCTTCTCCTGATTTTTAATCCCTAGAGCCCAGAACGATTGCGGCTGGCATTCATGGATACCAAAACAAGCAGAAATCTGGTTGGTTATCACAGAAAGAGAAAAAGTAAAATTCTGAGGAGACTCAGTGAGGGAATCAGCAGTGCATTTGAGAACAGGTTGTTATACCAGTTTTCCTATTTGCGAACACAACCATTGCTCCTTGAAGCCAGGCTAGCACACATCCTATTTTCCTCCTCCTGCTGTCTCTCCCGTCTTGCCTTGTTGGTGTTTTCTGCCCAGCTTACATCACTGGTGTGTATTTCAGTGTCTTTTGCTGGCTAGGTTAATCCTGGGCCCTGACTTCAGTGCTCCAAAAATCCCCATAGCCATCAGAAATGCTGTGCAGATTTCTCCTTCTCTTCCACACAAATGGGTTTTCCCTGCTTTCCCACTCCCAGGCTTTGACAGAATCACCCAAAGTCCCAAAGAGCATGTTTAAAAAAAAACAAATGAGAGAGAGAGAGAAGGATAAATGTCTAGATGTATCGGGAAAAAAAAAAAAAAGAGGAAAACAGTCCCACATCCACCACCTCATATTGTCCAGTGATGACGGGAGGCAGGAAACATGAATGAGTCCTCCAGCAAAGAGCAGCCTGAGGAGACCCTAAGAAAGGGGATGGGTGCCCCAAGGAATATAGCTCTGTCCTCTGCTCAGGAAGGTGATCCCTGTGTTTGCTCAGCAAAAATAGGCAGGGCCTCCAAAGACAGAGGGACAGGGCATGAAACTCACAGCCATTTAGCTGATTATCCAGAAAACACAGATCACCTAGTGGAACTCCACATTTTAAAGAATCAAGCCATAAGATTATAAAAGGACTTAATATGCCACTAAAGCATCTTTTAACTCTCTAATGTCCTTTAGTGCTCTTAATCCATTGCTGTAGCACCTGATATCACAATATTCGAGTGCTTCACCCACTGCATCCAACAAGGAAAAGAAATGCTCTCCTATTCCGGTCTTACCTAGAAGGTAACAAGGCAAAGTCAGCTTGAGTCACACAAGATGACATGGACAAGCTGTGGTCCAACAAAGCGCAGAACAGGATTAGTGAATGCTGACCAAACTGTCCTGGTCACCTGCTTAGTCCTCTTGTCCCACCACAGGACAAGGTAGAGGCAGTAAAGCAACTTAAGGACAATTTGAGTCCCTTGAGTTCTTATCTGAACAGAGACAGCATTTAGTCAGCACAGAACACACCATGTGTTTTACAGACAAGGAAACTTCCCCAACATTTCTACAGTACAAAATATGGACTGATTTTTTTTATATCCCTCCACATGACAGCACAGGTGTCTGAGTTAAAGTGAGAGAAAATGAAGGGGGCCCAGAGGGAGCTGCAGAAATGTGTTTTAAAGGAAAAGAACATTGAGTAGGTCTTTAGCAAACTTTGCACCCATTCTGGTTCCAGTTATCTTGAGCAATTTCAGAGTGATGAGTGATCTGGGAATTTCTGTACCACATTAGCGTAAGCTCCTATTTCCAGCCTTACAAGATCCTAAGTTATTAAAATCTCTGAGGCCAAGGCACGTGGGAGCCAAATTCGAATGCCTGTACTCACATCAAGTAACACGTTCTGTTCAAGCTCTGCCACTGCCATCAGTGGGTGTAGCTAACAGATGAATCACTACTACAGAAGCAGAGATCTCAAATCCTAGTTTTCATAACCATAAGTGGCCCAGAGGTGAATCTCAGCTCATGTACAGACTTTGAGCAGGCCGCAGGAACTGATGAGAGATGTCTCATGAACTGCGGGACGTGTATCATCCATACGGGATGAGAACACAAAACTACAACCCAGTGATTAGCACCACATCTGGGACTAAGGAAAGAACTTGAAGGCAAGAGCCAGGGTACAAAGCCAGAGATCGAGATTGGAGCTTAGGACTTCAGGTTTGGCCAGTGGAGAGCCATCACAGACACTGCCTGACAGAGCTACAGCAAAATGCAGAGAGTGACTTGTGTGTCCATGACTAACAGAGAGGTCTTGCTTACTCTGCTGGGTGAAAATCCACATCCCAACCTCACGAGTTCTGATGCAATCGTAATTTTCTCATGGCCTTAAAGTCTCTACAGCTGAGCTCTCTCAGGGAAGGTATAATTATTTGGAAAGGTCTCAGAGAGAAAAATAAGACCTCTGCCTGTCAAGCTGACTGATCCCATGAACCAGGTGAAGATTATAGTCTTCACAAGCCCATTCACAGCAGCCTGAGAGATGAAAGTCACACTTTGAAGGCAAAAACATTCAACAAAGGCTGCCCCAGATAAAGTCAGCTGCATTCAAATCAGATGAAGACTGTCCCATTTAATGAAGGATGCTTACCTGAGCCCCTACTAATAAGCAACGCAGACAGCACAAACGAGCAGCTTACCTCTGATTTTGGCATCTCCCTATATTATTTCACCTTTCCTGGAAGTTTTAATTAAGAGGTTGGATAATGTAGTATTTGATGGGCTGAACTCTACAGAGTGGTGGCTCATGTCCCTCTGAAACTTATAGCTATACTCACTTTCTCTCTCTTTCATAGCCTAATAAAAAGAAATAACCAAATTCCCAAGGCTAAAATGTTCCCCTTGCATTTCTTTTTCTGTACACACCTTACAAGCCAGAGCTTCTAAGCCATCACAGTTTGCAGCTTTAAAAAGAAAGAAAGGAAAAAAGAAATCAGATAGCTAAGGGGAGTTATTACGTTCCAAAATTTCAACACCTCTGACCCCTACATTACAAATCAGTTCAAATCTCTCTCACTCTGGGAAAAACCTAATTCACTCCCTTGGAAAGTTTATTGTCAATGGGAATCTACTGTTTCTGAGTGGAATAAAGATTTCTAGGTCTATGCTGTACAAGTTTTAACGACAGAAGACTTCTAAGTTTTCTAAGAGAAAGAGACACTTGAAACAGAGGCTTTATATAATGCAGCATTAAAAACAAGCATTGAAACTACGCAGCCAAAAGACTGCATGAAAAATGAAGTAGATTGTGGAAAACAATATGCAGGTTTGAGCATCAAATGGACAGAGACAAACAGGCAACTTCCTTTAACCTTATTATATAAAAGTAGAAAACAAACCACAACAACACAGCCTCTCCTTTAGGAAGAGGTTCTGCTTTATTCCCAAGACAGCTCAGCCCTTGCACTTTATCCTCTAAGAAAGCCTCTCCCCTAAGCTCAGCTGTGCTATTTGAAAGGTAGGGTACAATTATCCGATAGGACCTGCTATTCTGCTTCACAGAAGGATGCACCTGGAGAGGATCTACACTCACTTTTGTCACGTGCACCTAGCATGAACAGTGAAATCAAAGGATTTTGGATAGCTAAGTCAATCAAACACCTGCCTCCAGAAGCAGGAGAACATAAACACCTTTCCTTCACTATGGAAATGTGAAACAGTAATGTTGTTGGACAAGGTTCTAGATCTTTGATACATTTTGCAGGTCTATGTGATTTGGGAGCCTTACAACTTCCTTTCCTAGATGTTCAAAAACCTTCTTACACTGTCCGAAATTCACAGGCACACTGAGGGAAATCTCCAGACTTGGTGCCAAAAAGCTATGTTTCAAACACGGGAGTCTGAAGCTGTTTAGAGAGACTTGCAGAAGGGCTTAGACAACTTGAAAATCCCATGAGGTGTCTGTCTCCACTACAAGGTGTGGAAATATTGCAAATCCAATCTATGGATATTTTGAGCCTGCATTCCAGGTACTTTTAATGATGCACAAGAATTTCTATGAGAATTTGACTGTAAGAGATATACATCATGCTTTGCAATCGGGAGTCAATCCTTAAGTCATCCAAGTCCTTTTTATTTTTAACCATTCAAAGTAAAATCCTCTGGTTCCTTAATATTATATAATCATAGAATCGTTTAGGTTGGAAAAGACTTTGAAGGTCATCAAGTCCAACCGCTCACCTAACACTGCCAAGACCACCATTAAACCATGTCCCTAAGCACTACATCTATAAATACCTCCAGGGATAGTGATTTAGCCTTAAGGACCAGGCACTTCTTTTAACTCTTCACAGATTCTGTAAATCAGCACTTCTACACATTCATACATACACCATCATCTGGCATGTAGTAAGTATGGTGTTAAGAATCTGATTCAAGCCCCAGATCATAGATTCAACTACAGAAGAACACTGCTAGGTTTTCTCTTTCTCTCTAAAGTCAATTTTTGGGCCTTCACACAGTGGAGAGAAGTTTGGAAAAGTGGTATCTAAAATGGAGGAGCCTGGAGATAGGAACTAAATTTGATTAATCATCTGCTTTTAAGACACTCTCCCAGTTTTGGAGGCTGACACTTGAGAAATGGAAAGGAAGACAGTCATAAAACCAGATTTTTAGCAAACTGTTTGCAAATCCTGGGCTCTCACCAGTCAGTAGAAAGAAACCCGCTCCTCAGAGAGTGATTCAAAACAGAGTCTGAATCATTTTTTTCCCCAATGGTTGCATAAGGAGACTGGTCAGAGTGGCTGGCTCTGCACAAAGACTGTGTTGTAGGCTAAAGAAGCTCTCAGAAGCGTTGGAAAATAGGAGGTTTAATGATCATAGCTTTGTCACTGAAGCACAGGGCAGCTTCTCTATGTTACTGTAAGTAGATATATAACAAAGAAGCAGGAGATCAAAAGACTTGTACTCACCTGTACAAGACACTACTGTTATCAGACAAGAAAGTGGTACAAACATGGTGACTATTGCATTGCAAGATATGTACCATGGACAGATAACGTAACATTGATGATGACCAAAACCAAGAGTATACTTAATGTTCAAGTAAAGCAATCGATTCCTTCAAGTTAGATGCCCTTCTCCCCTCCATGACCTGTCCAAAACAATCAAAGCCTGAGGGCATAACTCACCAGTAAAACCTGTTCGGAGTGACCCGCTCATGCATGAGCTGCCATTTTCTTCCAAAGTCCATGGAGCTGTAGAGCTGAAAGACAGAGAGACAGAAAAAGTCTTTGAGGAAGGACTGCCACTAAATACAGTATTAAAATCAGCTGAGATTAAAGAACAGGAATTATCGATCAGTCTCACTGCCAGGTAAGACTAATAAGGCAATCTCCTTCCCTCACATTTAACCCATACTGAGCTCGTGAGACTCGAAAGCAGGTTGGCTCTTCCAAAACCTTTTTTTGTTCCTGATTTCAGCTGTCAACACATTCACTTCAATTGCCATATGACAAAGCTGGCAGTCCCCCCGCCTTTTTCAGCCCGACAGGAAGCAGGTGATTGATGACATGTAAATTCCTAACATTAAATAGAATGAGACACAAATTAGATTAGTTAACGTGACTATGATGTGGTAGGTAGTGACTCAATACTCAAGGTCATGCTGCGATTCACTTTTATGGCGTGGATTACAACTCACTTCTGTGTGGGGAAGAAAAGGAAATTGCTCCTGATTTATAACTTTGATGTTCAGAACAAGGTCTAAATTTTGAGATAAGTTAGAAATCAATCTACTCATTAGTTAGACATTAAAGATAGTGAAGTAGCTCTTCTTGAAAGCCAAATTTCAATCTAACAATCGTTCTGAGTCTCTCTGGCTCACAAAAGGCTCAGCTGTAACGTAACCAATTTTCCATGAAACTCCAAACTAAGTTTCAGACATAGGTTCACTTCATACGCACTCTGCATAATACCACAAACACCATTCTTTATATAATTAGTTTATCATCCACAATCCACTCACTCATAATCAAAGCATATGTAAGCTCCTTTTCTCCAACTTCGAGCAAGTTTGGTTCTTCAGAAAAAAAAAAATACGCTTTGAGAAATAACTACTCTGCTTTACAATTAGATCACAGAGAAATAAATAGCAAGTGGTGTTTTGAACAGGCTTTCAAATAAATTTAACCTGAAATAAATTCTGGCTTAATAAAACAAGGGTTGACTGGAGGCTAAGGAGGTAGATAACAGAGCTGAGAAACTCAAATGTTTGTAGGTCCTTAATGGGAAAATGATATCATTTGAGTAAAGGTTCTGCATTTGATTTGATTTTGAGTAACTAGATTTACAAATCGGAGGCAGGTCCATGTTCAGATTACAAGGGTTCACAACCTAGTGATGTGTGCTATGGCACAGCTGTGATGGATGCCTAAGTGTGTCTGGGAAGATAAACTATATGTGCTCACACTGAATATTAAACTTTCTTGAATGGGCAGTATCTTTGACCACAGAGATCCAGCAGCCATATCAGAGCTGGACCGTAGAACAATTTACAAAGATGATTGGAAGAGGCTGTTTTAGCAGAGTCCAAATCCTAAGGCAGATGATTAATTCTTACTATGTTTGTACTCAACTACACAACCAAACCACTGTATAGCTAGCAAAAGGAAACTCGAAAACTGAAATTCAGACCCCATTAAGTATCTAATGCAACTGATACATATAAAGACAAGAGAATCAGTCCTTTGCCAATGGGAAGTCCAGTTTCTGCCAATGACAGCTCAAGCTGCCAGCAAATAAATCACATCAGGGAAAAAGAGATGGAAGCAGGTATCCTCCAATCTTTATGTCAAAATGAGCACCAGTTATGTAGACTTCAACCCATCCAATATCACTGGGCTTGTGGTAAGAAATATTAGGAAAGATTTTCTGCCCCATGTTCTTCACGAGATCAGCCCCGATCTGAATGTTCTGACTTGGCAGTATTTCTTTGGCACTGTTGCTAGACAAGGTAAGATACTGAAGTAAAACCACGTTGTCTGGGCTTGCTCTGCTTTTCTGCTCAACCAACCACAGTGATAGTCAAAAATTACAGCAGAGAATCCTCTACCCAAAAGGAATTCTTCGTAGATACAAAATAAAGCATTGCTTATCTTTTTTAACTAAGGGAGCCAGGAGAAGAAAATTCCTCCTCCAAATTCAAGGATAGGCTTATGAATTCAACATCAAGGCCATACATCAATAAGATAAGTATTTATCCAAACAGCATCACATCCTTCTGAAGCAACATCTGGATTTTTAGAAACAATAATTGAAAATCCACACTCCAAGTGTCAAAACTCTACAGTGCTTGACGTTAGTACGGTGTCTCCAGAAATGTTCTTTGAGTCATTTGACATGGTTTCACACATACAAGGACCTCTGCACACAGACTGAATTACATCAGTTGCATCAAACAGCTTGGCCATCCTTTCCCTTTCCTGACTGACGGTATGACTTGCAGACTGTGCCACGGTGCTGTACAAAACACAGGCTCCAGGCAGCTTAGCCTCAGTTAACTCCCGTTCACAAGCAAGTGCAGGTGGGACTGACATCCTTATTGTATTCTGCAATGGATTAACCATTCTCACCATGAGGGGAAAGGATTAGCAAAATACATCCATTTCCTTAGATTTTCTTTTATCTTTTGCCCCTAGCATTTCCTTTTCTTTTGCAGCTGCATAACAGCAGTAGCTACAGACAGCTCAGTGGCAAGAAGCACAATCTCTTTCTAACTACTCGTCTCTCCCACAGTGTCTCATTCAGAAAGCATCCTTCTTTATATCAAGTTAAAAACCAGAGACCAGCTACTGAGCACTTTTCTCCTCCTTTTTTTATATTACAGCTCAGACTGACTGATAGCAGAAGGATTAAATTGAACTTACAGCCTTTAGGTGATTTCAGATAAAAAGATATAGAGGATATTATTCAGTTCAAGAACTTTTATTTATTTATTCACTTACTTATACTAGGCGTCCACTTTGAATTTTAACCAGATGATTGAGTCTCAAAGCTGTGTGACAGAACAAATTCCTGAAAGGTCTCTCTGGCCCAGCTCACTTTTAGAGTATTATTTACAGATGTGAATGTAAAGGTTAATGTCAAATTATTAAATAAAACATACAATAAAGAGTTTTCTAGCGTGCATTAAAATTGAATATATATATACATTTTCTATTCATCTCCCTTCATGGGAGAAGAGATGCTTTTAGAAGAGACAACAAATTTAGTGGCAAGTACAGCAGATCTCAATAGAGATTAATTTGTCCTAAGACTGAATACTAAGTGATGGAAAGAAACAAGGTTTGATTGGTGCCAAGATTTTCCCTTTTTAAAGCTCTGCTCTGCTTCTTTAGTGACAAGGAGTCTCTGTCATTCCCACTTCCCAGAGCACTCCAACACATTGGTTCAAGAGAGATGGACCTCTGTATCATGAGGGTGTACTGTGAGGGTATGCCCTTTCTGCAACCTTCTTGTGTTATTTGACCTCTAATGAATGAAAAATTAAGACCATTATGGGTCTTCATGTTTTTATGGGCTGCTCTTGTGCCTTGATGTTGCTAGAGTGGCACACAGAGGACTTGACTCAGGAGCAATTCAGAAGCAGGACCCAAAACAGAAGGATAGAGTCTTGGCTTAAGGCAAGGGTGACAAAATTCATTTTTTAACACGAAAATAAAAGCAGAATCCTGCATCTACCACAGAGGTACCTCAGTAAACACAGTCACAGCACCCAGCCGATCCCAGCAACCTCTGCTGAGCAGAAAGTTTCCACAAGCCTCCTGAAAGCTGAGGTGCTTTTGAAAACAAACACACAATGTTCAAATTCCCTACTGAGCCCTTCAGAATGATGTTTATCAATCTTATCTACCCTTGCAGCAGACAACAGGGGTTTTTACTAAGCATGACTTTAGAATTCCTGCTTGCCCTCAGACTGGCGTGCAACACCGCCGCAGGGCAAATGGGATTCAGAAAGATGAAGAGGTTGGCATTGCATGGCAAACAAATATAACTTTTGGATCCAAGAGTAGCTCTGATTTCACACCTGGCTTTGAGGTTAACCCAGCTCAGCAGTACATGTGTAGTCTTTGAGAACGGGCACTGATCAAAATCTGTCCATGCTTAAGGAGCCTACTTAGAATTACTATTAAAAAAAGAAAAGGTTGTACATCAAGAAGGTAAATAGCAAATGTTTATCCAAACAGCATCACAATGCTCCACACTCAAGGACTGTAGCACCAGACATATCACATCCACCAAACACAGTCCTATGTTTTACCAAGAACGCATAATCTGTGAGGAAAGACCTTGGCAGCCCAAGTGATACACAACTTTATTTCACCACAGGCTAAAACCTTAACTCATGTTTGCCTGCTCAGCACAACTCTGAATCATAGGGCTATTACATTCTACAGGCAGAATGCTGCTTCTTCAAACTCTAAGAACACTTGCAACATTTTATTTAACACCAGCATTGTTTCCAACATAAGCAGAAAGCCCTTAAAGAGGGAGCCTTATATCCCTGGTGTTAGATTCTATGCCACAAACATGTGCAACACACCAGAAACGCAGTCGGAACTACAGAGCTGGAAAGGAAGAAGTTATACACATACGCATGCACACAGTGTTGCATATGAAGAATATCTCCGTTCTGTTGCAATTCTCCAGAACAAATTCTCAGGGCAGCACATCCTGCTGGCTTTCTTGGATGATCTTGTTTGGGGCTGGGGTAATTTGTTTGGGGTGTTTTGTTTATCTTCTCAATGAGAGCTAGCAAAAAAATACAACAGGATGATTTTGCTCAATAAGTCAAGTTTCTCAGAACCGGAGCAGCATGAGAAACTGGCCTGTTTAAACTTCACTTATGGAGAGAGGTGAGAAGAACAAGCAATGAAGGAAATGGAAAAACATGGAAATCACAGGAAGACATTCAACCCCCTGATGTTAGTCACTGATATCCGAGCTAGTCACCAAGGGTCAGTTTCAGACAGGCAAGAAACAGGCTTGAAACGGATACTTCTAAAGCACAATTCCTATACTGAGACACACTTCTACAACTCGTTATTATTCATGTCTTAGAAGCCTCCATTTCACTCCATAGACACTAAAAGAAGTCTACAGTGACTGGTGCATAGGGAGGTAACGCCCCCGCAGACAGATGATGTAGGTGAGATGGAATTCATGTTAGGTTCTCTGTTCCCAGGTTGACCTGTCTGGTCTTCA